GACGACGAAAAGGGTTTGCTTAGACACATGCAGTATTTGCCTTCTATTATTTTTCGAATACCACCTTCCAATATTTTGGAAAGATGCCGGGAGGTTCCACACAGAAGCGCCGTACGGATAGCTTATAATTATGGCGTTCCGGCTGGGGCTCGCCCAAAGTTTCCGATTTCACTTGCAGCTTTGTCTCTTTGTCTTTGTAAGTGTGTTTATTCCTCGTATAACTTCGTATAATCACAATGGCTTTGTAATACCGTTCTCTTCGCTTCCCGCCAGATATGATCATTTTTGTTCTGATAATCCACCAGAGCCCGCACTTCTTTTCGAGTTACCTAGATCACCATTGTTAAGATCAGAATTCCTGCGATTATTGTTGTTGGTACCAGATGTGAAGCGTGACCTCGTTGATACCAAGAGGCACGCCCAGATACTGCAGCATTCTACTTTATACATTCTGACACTGAACACCTTTGTGAAGGTGAATAAATTCTTGTAAACCCATAATAGCTTACACAGAAGTATTCTGCGGGAGCCATAACACCCCGAGGAACCGAAGGCGCCACCCTTTTGCTTGTGAGCCACCACATTTTTTGGTGCGTCGACCATAGCCGTAACAAGGGCAGCAAAACGTCTGTCCCAGGGACTCAACCCTGATTCGCAACAATTTTGCGAAGAACAAGCGCTCTACAGCGTTATTGCTTGCTGAATTCCTTGCTGGATTCATTCAGTATACAAATAATAAAAAACTGCACGAAAGCAGCGGAATCGTGCTATCTCCTTTGAAATTGGCATAGTCCTTTCCTGAGGAATCGGATCGAAAGCGGTTTGTGTTACTCAGTCTATATTAGCAAGTATCACTCCTTATAGACCGGCGGCTCAACAGCAGCGTTGGATTTGGTGATATTCTCCACTCTGGCAACCTACCACCACTTTATTTGCTCAGAAGCAGCGGATCATTCCCATTAATTTCACTGAACATAGCACATCATTCTTTTTTACTGAAAAATCGCTCAACAGCAGCGATACTTTGGTTCCCCATTAGCAGAACCATTCAGTAGAACATATCATATTAAACTTGACATATTATGTCATCCACTTCCGCAAAACACGAATTATCGCTAGTGCATCAACACTACCCGTGCTTCTTCATAGGTATCAACGTTATAATGAAGATGTGAACTACGCCGAAAATTCAACGGATGCACAGGAGAAAGGACACCTCACATACGCTTGTTAACAACAGCATTATCCAAAATAAATACCGCTTTATGAACCTCCAAAAAGGAATTGATGTGTTGGAAATCCTACATGACAAGGCAGAAGAGATAGAAAGAAAAGATATTTTATTCCAGGTTCAAAAAGTTGGCGAGGAGCCTCATTATTGAAAACACATGGCTGATGACGAAATTTTAGTACGTGAACTCGAAGCACAATTGGCTTTGAAAAACTTGAACATAAAGCATACACGTTTCCTGCCGTATTGGTCCAACGAAACAGAATAGGGACCGTATTCAATACTGCCATAAGGGTGTTGCAAACGCAACAGGCACCACAGCCATATTGAAATCTGTGTCTTACACACGCGAGAAAAAATGTACTATGTAAAGGAGGGAATACAGGCTTGAAAAGTCACAACATCACGGTATTAGTGAGCAGGAATGAGGAAATAATCATAATCATCCTAAAATAATCAATTCTCGAGCCAGTGTTGGCATCGTAAGCCTTGTCGATGGCAACACCAGGAACGTCTGTCCTTTGAAAGCATTGCAATTAGCCTCAGCGTTAATGTGAGGTCACCATTAAGAAATTTGGCATACGACAAGAGATTCAAGCAAAACTTCATGACCGAAACACTATCCGATCGATTTGAAGGAGTGACGTAAGCCAGCTCAGGAAGAAATAATTAGTTTGGCCGTTCTACTCGTTATGGAGAAATCTAACCACTACTCCAAGCGAAAGAATGACACGGCACTAGACCGTTCCATGAAGATGCCAACATCTCATGTGCATTCCAACTCAGACCATCTTCATGTTATTCATCAGCAAAATCCTTCCACCTTCAATGAAAAAAGAAGCAATAAACAGCGGTTTTTGCATAGGCGTAGTTATTCTATTTGTTCATTTTCCTCACCCTTCAGTATTCTTGAAGGAATCTTCCGCGAAAAAAAGCTCCGCCTCCATTACCACAGAAAAACGATACCCCTTAGCATGAGCATAGCAAAAAGAACGGAACATAAGCGTTAGTTTCGATAATACTAAT